TTCATTGTTGTAGTTGGGATTGTTGTAGATGAAATTGTAGTGGTTTCAATTGTTGTAGTTGGGATTGTTGTAGTTGAAAGTGTAGTAGTTTCAGTTGTTGTAGTTGGGATTGTTGTAGTTGAAAGTGTAGTTGTTTCAGTTGTTGTAGTTGGAATGGTAGTTGTTGATAGGGTAGTAGTTTCAATTGTTGTAGTTGGGATTGTAGTTGTTGAAAGTGTAGTAGTTTCAGTTGTTGTAGTTGGGATTGTTGTAGTTGAAAGTGTGGTGGTTTCAATTGTTGTAGTTGGAATGGTAGTTGTTGAAAGTGTAGTAGTTTCAGTTGTTGTAGTTGGAATGGTAGTTGTTGAAAGTGTAGTGGTTTCAATTGTTGTAGTTGGAATGGTAGTTGTTGAAAGTGTAGTAGTTTCAATTGTTGTTGTTGGGATTGTTGTTGTTGAAAGTGTTGTTTTATTCCCATTGTTTGATCTCTTTCTTCTGATCAACATTTGCGATAACACTGTTTTTCCTATTTGATTTCCCACTTTTGTTTTTTCCTTTAGTACGTAGTTGAAAAATTTTTTTTTAATTTAACTTTTTTGATTTTTAGAAAATTGTTACAATTAATATGCATCTCCATTGTTAATTATTTGAGCTGTTTTTATTTTATATAAATCAAATAGAAATTCATTTTTGAGACAACAATTGTGTGTACATACCAAATTCTAAATTATAAAAAGGAAGATTTGAATGGCTTTCCATTAATATTTGATTTCACAATGCAGGACATTTGAAAGTTGAATGTTTACTTGGCAGAGGCCTAGTTTTGTCCGAAGTACACTTCTTACAAATATAAAAAATGTTATGAAATACCTAATTTTTTACTGATTAATATACCCTATATTTGACTGACAGTTTACATTCGTCTATTTATTTGTTTTTAATTTAAAAGCTAACATCTTTGCAACTTGAAAACTTTTACATGAAATTTTATTTTGTTTTGTGTCTAATATTTACATTTTTTAAACAAGTTTCTAAATTATATATGTAATGAACGGCAAAATAAATGTTAATTGTTTTTAAATTATTAAGTAAAATTATTTAATTTACCAATATATAAAGTAGAAATTTAAATAACTTTGGAATGTTAACAAAACTGTCATGAAGTCTTGGAGTTAGTAGTAACATGATTAAATAATTAAAAAATAAAAACAAAATCTTAGTAAAAGTTTATATTAAATTAAATTAAAACTATAGAGCAAAATTGCGCAAAGTAGCAAAAATATTTTAAAACAGAAGCAAAATAAAACGCCATTTAGGTTAGATGTGGAATATAAAAGGCGACAGATCTAGAATGGAAACGGAAAGAATATTTAACTGTTTTAAGGCCAAAATTGAAATATTTTTAGATAATAAAAAAATTAATAAAATGTTATAAATAAAATTTAAAATTATTTGAATAAAATGATTGAATTCTGGATGAGTAATACAGTTAATAAAGTAAATGCACAATTATATATTAATGTTATCCAGAAACGTCAATAAAGACCTATTCTGGTCAGTGGAATGAAACTGCCAGTAAGATGATTGATGAGGGGGAGGGCATTAGACCTTTGCTCGTCAGATGGTTCAACAGAACTTTAAGAACAACACGTTCCATGACCTTTGACATGAACGGTCTGTAGTATGAAATATCATTACCATCAAAATTGGCTTTCTTTAGATTTGGTAGAACCATCGCATGTTTGAAGTGGACAGGAAATTCACCCAACTGGAGGCAAAAATTGAGAAAACTTGTTAAAAAACAGATTAAAAAATTGTTGTATTTTTTTTAAGATATGCGTAGGAAAGATGTCTAATGAACTTGTTTTGAAAGGTGATCTGATGGTAATATCTTTGAATTCCGTCTCAGTTATTGTTGGAAAAAACGATTGCAAACCAATATTTGGTTGGTGATTTTTATCAGTCGTGAGATTTGGTACATTAATAAAAGTTATAATTATAGTGATTTCATCCGTGAAGAACTGTATGAATTGATAAGTTGTGAGATTAATGTTATCGTCAGATGCATTACCCTTTTTACTTCTACATAAAACTCTATCATCTGCCAACGATTTTTAGAACCCCATCTGGTTTTAATTAAATTCTTTTTATAATTTGTTCGTTTGTTTCTAGCTTTCAAAGAATTTGCCCAGTTTTGTTAATGATCAGTTGTCATGCAGTTTGTGTAAAATCTTTCCGTCTATTTGCAGGTTTGTTTGGCCCGTTGACATTTATCATCAAATCATGGTGCAAGGGTTTACCTTAACCTCTGTCGCAAACTTATAAACTACGAATATTATTAATTTTATTGATAAAATATGTAATAAAATCATTGGGGGAGAAATCATTTGATTGGTTATAATTGTGATTTTTAGATAAAATTTTGTCGAAGATATTCCACAATTTTTTCGGTTGTTTTTTAAACGAATCAATTTGATTAGACCAAAATTTGTTTCCTTTTTTGAAAAATTTTTGTATCTTTTCTTTTGACTCTAAGCACGATGCATTTCGATTAAAATCATTCTTCATTTTCCTATACAATCGTTCTAGTTTTCGACAATTGCGTTTTAATGAACGACATTCAGTCAAACCAAGGGGCGGATGACACATGAGTAGATTTGACATAATGACAAGGAGCAACGATATCCACAATCCTCACAATTTCAGAATTAAACAAATCTAACAGGGTATCAGCGGAAGATAAATTAAACGGCCCTGAAATAGATGAATCAAGAACTAGTAAACAAAATTTATTTTCGTTGATTTGATTCCCTGAACGAGTAAGTTTCGGAAAAAAATTGTGAGGGAAGGTCAGAACTAGAGGCAATTAAATCTAATGTTTCACATGAACGTGGGTTGGTTCATTTATTCTATTTATCAATTGATATAAATCAAAATTTTCAAATAATTTCAATGCATTAGAGTTGTTCTAGAGTTCAACATGACTATTCATGTCTCCAACAAAAATAACATAATTTGCTTAAAGCAATATTTAATCAAAAACATATGATAATTCATCAAAAAACAATGTGATGGATTAGAAGACCCAGGACGATAAATTGCAAAAACGATAAGGGTTACTTTGTTGAAATAAAATTTTACAACTATAGCCTCAAACGTCTTAAAAAAAGCAGTGGAATTCTATAAAATTTATAAAATTTTTTAAAAACACAATTATTTCACCATAGTGAGGGTTGGCCGGCCTAAAAAATCTATGAACACAAAATCAGGTGGCACAACCACAAATATCATAATCACTACAACTGAACAAACATCCACCACCAGCACTATGATCAATACCTTCACTAAAAATCACTTCGCCGAATAAAAAACCCGGGCACGAGACTTTTCTTGATTTGGTTTCAACAATTAGTTTTTTTTTTAACTCGGCACGCTGATTAACTGTTAAATCATGACTGATCCATACTTTATCAAGATCTTCAAGCATAGTTTTTAATTTAAACGAATTTTTAAAGACCAATTCTTTAATTGCGAAACTCCTCATTTCAATCAGCACCGGTCTAATTTTAGTTTCTGCTTTTAGACCCAGTCTATTAATTCTTTTAATATCCTAATCCTTGACCTCACTGGATAACTTTTTAATAATTCTTTTGACTCTATCTTTATCATCATTCATCAGTTTCTTGCGAACTGAACATCATTATGTTATTTTCTCTCTCTCTCTCTTTTAGGTCATTAACATTGGTTAAAGTTTTTTGAACACTTTTAACCTCATCATTAACTAGTTCAATATTTTTCTTCACTTCGCATCGGACAACATCAGCAAAACTTTTGCTTAAAAAATTTTTAAGGCTACACAGCTCAGTACTCATATCAATGCCATCGAATCTTTCTGCCTTATCAACATTTTTCTGAATTAAACTTTTGATAGCTTCAAGTTCACTCTTCAACAAAATGTTCGATTCTTCAATTTTGTAAACTTTGGTGTTGAGCGCATCATTGCTATCACGCACAGCTTTATTCAATGACTTTACGCCAGGAAGTAGTTTCATGCATTCATCACAATACCACTTAATATTAGACATGGAACTGACAACTTTGAAGGCTGATTTACTTATTCCGACACAGTCTTGGTGAAAAGCAAGTTGACATTGAAAGCACTGAAATGCCTCTTTATCCTTTACATTTCTAGAACATTGACATCCTCTAATCGGCATTATTATTTCAAAAAGAATTTTTCCAAGTCAATTAATAAAAATATATTATAAATGCTTTTAGAAAGTTATCAGTCTGCAAGAATAAACACACACAACTTAATTAATAGTATACTTATATAACGATATATCTGATAAGTCTTAATATGATTATAGAGAAATCTGAGTATGATATAATTGATGTTAGTAGTAAAATTTCTCTCATTAAGTTAATTGATGGCGGTGCAGCTATATTGATAATAATAAAGATAAATCACCATAATATATATAATCACCATAATATATATATATATATATATATATATATATATAAAGAATTTTTCCAAGTCAATTAATAAAAATATATTATAAATGCTTTTAGAAAGTTATCAGTCTGCAAGAATAAACACACACAACTTAATTAATAGTATACTTATATAACGATATATCTGATAAGTCTTAATATGATTATAGAGAAATCTGAGTATGATATAATTGATGTTAGTAGTAAAATTTCTCTCATTAAGTTAATTGATGGCGGTGCAGCTATATTGATAATAATAAAGATAAATCACCATAATATATATAATCACCATAATATATATATATATATATATATATATATATATAAAGAATTTTTCCAAGTCAATTAATAAAAATATATTATAAATGCTTTTAGAAAGTTATCAGTCTGCAAGAATAAACACACACAACTTAATTAATAGTATACTTATATAACGATATATCTGATAAGTCTTAATATGATTATAGAGAAATCTGAGTATGATATAATTGATGTTAGTAGTAAAATTTCTCTCATTAAGTTAATTGATGGCGGTGCAGCTATATTGATAATAATAAAGATAAATCACCATAATATATATAATCACCATAATATATATATATATATATATATATATATATATATAAAGAATTTTTCCAAGTCAATTAATAAAAATATATTATAAATGCTTTTAGAAAGTTATCAGTCTGCAAGAATATACACACACAATATATATATATATATAAAGCTTGTATGGTCTCCAAGCCATTTTTTGTGGTTAATAAAATGTGCAAATAAAAAAAAATGTGTGTGTGTGAGTGTGTGTGAGTGTGTGTTGTGTGTATGTGTGAATGTGTGTGTAGATTCATGTTTATTAACATATTGTAAAGAGCTTAGATTGAGCATTCAATTTATCATTAACAACTATTGAACGCATATACGCACAAAAGCGAAGAACACACATCCTACATCCTACACATGCCTGATATTGACGCTTAACCGCTACACCATAAATCAAATAGCATTCAGAAATGAATTACATATCAAGTATATAAACCTTTGATTCCATGTCTTTCAGTGCTTCGAAATTCTCGAAATTGCACCAATCCCCTTTGCAATAGCAGTGTAAGAGGTTGCCACCATGGTGTCGGTCTTTTAGGCACTTTGTCGTTGCTACGTCTATGGTCGAACATGCTCTTTTTACCACTCTTTTTTCTAGAATAAAAAAAGTTCAGCCGTTATTGTATTTTAAATTTTGAAATTAATTCATAATATTCATAAATTCATCTCATCAAGTTTTTATGCTTGGAAGCTTCTAATTGAATGCTAATAAATGTACTGGAATGAAGTTTGGTCTGAATGAATTGGATGATTGTGGGTTGTATGATTTTAATGTATGTATGGGTTGTATGTATGGGTTGTATGTATGGGTTGTATGATTTTAATGTATGTATGGGTTGTATGTATGGGTTGTATGTATGGGTTGTATGTATGGGTTGTATGATTTTAAATTAAATCATTGTAACCGAATTAATTCATTTTAGGGTTAACATTTTAGCGTTCACTGAAGTTTTCAAAACACATTCATGATACAATCGAAACTATTTTTATGCTGCAGACGCCAATCCATGAACATTTTTAAATATCTCACTAAAGGCTCTTTCATATTGTTATGTACGTGACTGATTGTGCATTATGTTAATTTTGTCATGAATTATAAATTTACTTAAAAATTGTGTTAGAATGAACAATTTGTGAACGGTGGCCTGCGACAAAAGAATTTTGTTTTCTTTTAGCTTTGGTCTCCTAATCATTACCTAATTATTATTAATTTGGATTGATTGAATAAAATTTGATTTGATTTGGTTTGATTTGATTAGAACTAAATTTGAATACGTTGCAAGCGTCTGACCACCAAGGTAGATCGATCGAGGCATTAGAAATGGCTCAAAGACGTGCCACAAAAAATAGAATTCATTATATCTAGAGTCTGCAGTTACTGAATCTTCCTTCTTGAATCTTCGTTGGGATCTAATTACCATTTCCAAACTTTTCAGAGCCAACGATGAAAAAACATTTTCCATTTAGAATGTAGATTCACGAGCCAGGGGACAGCGATAGAAACTCAATGTGGGTGGGTCTAATAAGAACGCAAAAAAATATCTCTCAAACAGGTTAGTGCTTCTGTGGGACCAACTTTCCCTTCAGTTGTTGTTGAAATTGAAACTGTAAAAAAATTTGAGAAGACAGTGGAAAGATCCATGATAGACGAAGATTTTTTTAGTATCATCGAGTCAAAATTCGCTATTAATTTTTATTAACTCTTGACTTTATAATTAATTATTCATTTTTATGAATTTATTAGATGGGGACTTTAGCTTGATGACCTTTTATGTTATTATTGTTTATTAATATTACCTTTTATTGATGCCAGTGTTAACTCGTTAGAAATTAAATAAATTAAAAAAAATTAACGCTTGATGATGAAACTGCATTTAGATTTTTTTAACTATGTCAAAAGTTTTGTTGGCTCGAAAAATGACAAAAATATTATGGAGACATCTCAAGATGGAGTTCAATTAAGATGTCTTAACTTAATGCTTGAAAAAGGTTAGTAGTTAAGGAAATTTTTTGAAACAAATTTAATTATTATATCAGTAAGGATTTTTAATCATTTTAAAAAATTTTTGAATTTTTTTAGCTTTAGTAAATTAGAAAAATGAAATTGAAGAAATCTATCTCATCACTACAAACCATTTACATTCAGCGTGATGGAGCATGAATTTTCGCTTTGACAGATTTTACCAGAATCTCTGACATCAATTAGGGATATCTGGTTGCAGTTTGCGACTCCGCCGGCACAGAAATGACATCTAAACGCGTCAACAACCGACAACTTGTTAGAGGCCATTGCCAATGCTAGGAGTATTATGACATAGGTGGGAAAAAGACTGGAACCGGGTTTCATGATCATAGGTAGCACTGTCGTTGAGTTTTGAATAAATTTACCTTAGTGATGAAATTCTTGTGAAATTAATTAATAAAAAAATAACGAAAACCAGCCAAAAGTTGGTTGATTGTGAAAAATTAAATTGAATCATACCAGTTAGATATGCTGGGTTAATTTATTTTTCTGTTGTTATTGTTGTTTTGGTGATCTTTATGGTTTTGGTCTACTTTTGCTGCTGCCATATGTCCAAGACCAGTTTCCTAGTTCAGCCGAATTTCTACCGAACTAGCAACCTCCAGAGAACTTCTCGAAATGTCTTTTGGACTGTGTCTCTTTGTCGAAATTGTCGGTGCAGCTAGTTTGGCTAAAGATGATGAAAAATAGTATCATTGTTAATTTGCTTCTAGATAAATTATTTAAATGATACAGTTATTGAAATCGCAAATTCGGTAAATAACTTTTTCTATGCTCTAAATCTTTTTTAGAAATCGCGTTCTAATGGGGTGAACACTTTTGTTCAAATTAACATTGAAAACAATGTGGATTTAATACAAAAATGTATTTTAATATTCTCATTCATACCAATGCAAACATAAATATAAATACTCACACAGATGCAACAGTGCGTGTGTATGGCATTAACTTCACTGATGGTAACTTTTTTATACTGCTTACATTCACAATTGCGAATTTTTACATCACAAGTTATGGCGTTGATAATATCATATCTTGACATATAGATTAATCGCTCGTACATATAAAAATATAACACACACTCACACATACACCCACCCACCCACACACACACACACACACACACACACACACACACATAAACACACACAAAACAAGCATACAAACATTCCAAAATATAGTATCAGCCGAGCAATTGATTCGAGACACTTCAATCTAGAGAGCTCTGAGAACGTCAACATGTGATTTGAAACGAACAAATCTTTCGTAAACTTATCTTATCAAACCGCTCAAACTATCTCTAGAAATAATTTAACTCTTTTTGAACACATTTTCCGAACTTTAGTCATAGTTGGCAAGATGGTTTAATGTCTAGTCAGTCCTACTGAGTCCTACTGTGTGTGTGTGTGTGTGTGCTGTTTAAGATTTTTCATTCGATTTAGGAAATAATAACTAATGTTTCTAGAATAAACAAACATCTATTGCGAACATTTATTCTTTATTATGTAAATTGGTACAGAATGGCGGTAAAAAGCCCTTTCTGGTATATTCTTTACAGTCGCTGTTTATGTGCACATTTCATCATGTCAGCATCATTTCGTGAACTTCAATTAATGTTATCTGAAAAACTGGATGAGAATAATAATAATAATAATGGTAACATATCTTTAATTTTTCATCAAATGCGTAAAGTCAATAATTAATTAATTAATTAATTAATTAATTAATTAATTAATTAATTAATAGAGAAATAGTCATGATTAAAATAAAATCTAAATAAAACCATAATCATCATAGTTAGTAATCATCATAATAATGAGAACTCTTTTATTTCTTCATAAACTAAAATATAAATAAAAAAATTACAATTAAATATAAAATGAAAAGATTAAAATAATAATAACAATAGTAATAATAACAACAACAACAATAATCATAATAAACATTATTGCAAGGATTGCAAGCTATGATGTCATATCAAATTGTAATATCACCTTAAGTGGGGAAATGAAATAATTGAGAAATTATACACAGTAGTGGTAGTAGTAGTAGTAGTTGTGGTGATAGTGGTGGTAGTGGTGGTGGTGGTAGTAGTAGTAGTAATAGTAGTAGCAAGTAGTTTTTGTTGCTGCTGTTGTACTTGTTATTTCTGTTGTAGTAGTTTTAGTAGTAGTAGTAGTAGTGGTAGTAGTAGTGGTAGTGGTAGTGGTAGTAGTAGGGGTATTAGTAGTAGTGGTAGTAGTGGTGGTAGTAGTAGAGGTATTAGTAGTAGTAGTATTGGTAGTAGTAGTAGTGGTAGTAGTAGAAGTAGTAGTAGTAGTAGTAGTAGTAGTAGTAGTGGTAGTAGTAGTAGTAGCAGCAGTAGTAGTAGTGGTAGTAGTAGTAGTGGTAGTAGCAGTATGTAGTGCTTCT